TTCTCAATTTGTTCATACCTCTGCAATTCCAAATGTTCTGATAGGTCGTTTAGCCATTCCAGCTTACTCTCTTTTGTCTTCGATGACTTAATTTGATCGTGTAACAGAACACATACCCCGCACTTAGTGAATCGGTTTGTCTGATAGAAGAATAGATATGAACAAATTTGTGTATACAGCAACTACTTTAATCAAAATTGACTCTTCCTTCCATTAATTTATGTATTCAGCCATCTCTTCCCTTAATTCATTATGTTTATAAATTTATTTTGTTTTTGCATTATCAGTATTTTCTGTTTTTTATATTCTTGTTGTTTTTACCTTTGGTATTATCACTTCGGAAAATGATTTCTTCCACATTCGACGGAACTGAATCCTACTCAAAGGTACAGAACCTGGTTTGAGTTCCTCCAAATACAACTGATAGACCTTCAAAATGGTATAAGATGACGGCGGTTCTTTCTTGTTGACATCAGGCATTATATTGGCAAGATTGCGTACGGTCTGTGCAAACCACAATTCCGCTGCCGTAAATCGTTTAGATTTAAATGTCAATCCTGTGCGGCCGTGGATTGCCGTGGAGGGAACGTCCTTTTTGGATAATAGTGGTATCTGGAACAAATGTTAATCGAAGTATTTTTTCAAAATATTAATAATTGCATTGTTAAAAACATGTACTTGGTCTGAACTTAATGTTTTTAGTACCTTCCGTAAGCCATGCCATGTGCAAAGATCCATGCCTTCTGACACACAATTTTGCCTTTTACGGTGTGTTCGTGCTTAAGGACGTGGTTGACTCTGCGTTGGCTGATCTGAAAGAAATTAATCAGCCATTGCACCTGTTCTTCCCTTTCCATCTGTTGGTACTGGACCCTCGTCTTGTATATTTCCTCAAGAGTAAGGATTTTTTTTAAGCATTGTTTGTTGCAGCAGTAGTGGCTCGCTATGCTTTGCTGTATCGTTGTCAAAGATGTTTAAGTTTCTTTTTTCGAGTTACGGACTTCCACTTCATTCCTTTCCGTTTTAGACTCACTTTTATAATCAGCGTTATCCGTAACTTCCTAATGAGAAAATGTCAGAGCACGTTAAATATATATTGTATTATATTATATATATGGTAAGCATTATATTATATATATGGTAAGCTAAGGCGAAATACTAAATGAACAAATAATCTATACTTACTCGTTCAATACAATTATAAGTTAAGCTCAACTCTCAGCTTTTCTGTCATAAGTGTTACTGTCAAGATGAATGTCTTCATCCTGTATTATTTCAGCATTACGTAATCAGACATAATATTACATTATCGGATTTCAAGCCGAGTGGGGACTGGGCAAAATCCCCAAATTGGATAGTCATGACATAGGACTTACATAGAAAGAAAGCCCTTGTTGAGAAATGCAAAGTTCCAAAATTTGATGTAAATCAGTTCAATAGTGAACGAGTTACAGCCTTTCAAACATTCTAAAATTTCCAAAGAAATGTATGTGATCTCGCGAATGTGGCTTCCCATACATTTCTTTGGAAATTTTAGAATATTTGAAAGGCCGTAACTAGTTCACTATTGAACTGATTGACGCCAGATTTTGGAATGTTGCATTTCTCAACGTGGGCTTTCTTTCTATGTAAGTCTTATCTCGTGATTATCCAATTAGGGGATTTTGCCCAGTCCCCACTCGGCTTGAAATCCAGCAATAATATATAAATGAAAAAGCTGTGCAGTCTTTTCAATATATGCACAAAACTTAAATTTATTTCACTTGGCTTACCGTAGAATACTCATATTCACTTTCATCAGAGGTGAAGTCCGAAGAACTCAATGCCTCCAAATCAATCTATGCATTTCGAATAAAGTAAAAGAAACGGCACTAGTATTTAACATTGTTCGAAGTAGTAGTAGTAGCAGAACTATATCTGATGGCGAGTTCGATTCGAATTCGAATATATAGCATGATAAAGACATTTTCATATTGAATAATACTTCAGAAAAAATGATAAAAATTTATAAATAAATACATTGATTAATACCAAAATGAAATACGTGTGCTATACCAAGCAATCATATATGGTTGTTTGTCACGGTGTTTTATACAACCAGCGACCATACTTCGACTCAGACTTACATCGGATTCGGTGTCTTCCTCTTGATTACATTTTGGCGGCATAACATTTGTGTGATTACACGCTCCACCACAGTCACATAGCTTTGTTCTTTTGATCTAAAATACACATAAAACACTAAATGGTTTTACGTTTTATGTCTTTTGTCAATTTATTCGTAGCATAAATAGTTTCTTTGCAAGTTCAGTTTTGATGGCGTGATCTAAACCATCTAATATTATTTCTCCGCCAAATCTCTAATAACACGAATGAAACTTACTTTGTGAGTCCCAGCAATTCCAATCATGGTAGAAGACGGTCTTGTAGCTGTAAGAATATCTCCCTAGCTAGGAAAACCAGTGGATCGCAAAAATTCGGCCGAAATCCATTAAACCGCAAGCAAAGGTTTGTTACATGTCGAATAAAATGATATAGCTTTCAAAAACAAAGTTCATATTTGGCGCTCAATTTCTTACTCGTTCTCTGATTGGGTTATTTGCGTACTAAAAAAATGTACTAAACCGCATTGGTTATCAGTGCCATACCTGTCAATAACTACGTATTTATATGGAGAAAGATCAATATATCCTTAAGAAAAAAATAAAGAGAAGCAGAAAATATTAATTCTCTTGTATTGAAGAATAATTAGTTGATATTTTGGGGTGATTGCGGGGAGAGCAGCTACACACGATCGGCTAAGCAGAACATTTGTTGATAAGTCCTGAGAAAAGGCAGATTCACTTTGATAATGCAATTATTCAGTCGCTGTTGTAAGTTCCGGTTTAAGACAGGCACTGTTTATATTACAACATCGTACCATTTATGAACACATTAGTCTTGTATGATATGCGCTGGTGAATATAGACCTGTATATTATGAAATCAAGCTTAGATACTGAAATAAATCATGCATCAATTTCATTTAGTCAAAACACTGTCGAATTTGAGTTTTGATCAATTATATTATAAATATGTCTGATTGTTTTTTATTCCACTTCTTCATTTTTAACGAGGACCACAAACAGAAACATCGAATTCATCGAGGAATGTTTGCAAATTTGGAGATGATTGTAATTGTACCGGTTCGGGATTTTACAACCCCGGTCCCAATGTCCTTATCGTACTAGCTGTCAACACTATTGAAATGCTTTTTAGCGTAAGAGGATTGGAATGGACCTTTCCACTTGTTTGTATACTGTAAACCGGCCGCAATGGCCGAACATTCAAATGAATTCGAAGTGAATTAAATTACAAATCAATTCATTAAGCGGCGTATTAAATCCAGCGCTGAAAAACCTGGACCTTGGTCAGGTTGTAATAGTTTTGAGAATCATGTAAGATGAACATTCCGCAAAACGACGTCCTTTATTTTGCAATCGGCATACCTCCGGTTCCCAAGATAAAAATGGAATTTCTTGAAGACGAACATTTCCGCATAACAAAGCCTATTATTTTGCAATGCACACGTCCGGTTGCCGATATAAAAATGGTATATATAGTTGTACACACACATCGCCATTTCTCTTACTCTCGCTGTTCTCGACGACCTCGACCCTTCTGATACAAGGCAAAATGCTCAATTCAAGTGCCCTGATTCCCATTGAACCTTCAGTGAATTTTCAACCACTTGGTAATGCAGCTTCTTCTGAATATACGGTGCAAAAAAGGACATTTATGTCTTTAGCATCAGAGTTTAGAATAAAGCTGTTCGAACTTGCACCCGAAGCCAAAGAAATACCACCACTGGGGGTGAATAAAAGAATGGATAAAACATTCAAAAGCTACGTTCAGCTTAGACACGGGCAACTTGATGTAAGTTTTTTGTCTTTGAGTTTACTCTTTTTCGTCTATAACAAATTTACAACTAATTCTGTATTTATATCAGGATTTCAGAAAACAAGTGTGGGTGGCAAAGTTCTCTCAGAGGTGCTGGGAGATTGTCAAGCAGCTAGATGAAAGGCGAAAGTTAACAACATACTGTTTTAAATGGCTTATGTCCACCACAAGTGAAGAGGAGATTTTTCATAGTCTAACTGGTGTATTAGACAATTCTAAGTCTTTTACTTCATTGAACAACGTGAAATCGAAGGTAAGTTGAATAACTCCACATAAATATTTCACTTGTGAAAATAACACGCTACCATGGATATTCTGTACAAATATCCCATTTCTTGACTTATTCGCTCACTCGTGAGATGTCAACTGATCACTCAAGAGGATAATACACGTATCTTCGTGCGCCCATGTAACATCCTTTATCTATTTAATATGTTATCTATGCAGGTCAGCAAACCTGAGAAAATGAGAATTTGGTATGAATTTTTAAGTCGGCTGCTCAGTGATTTAAAGCTGTAGAAACTAGTCTACTTGTGGTTCCTGCTGTTATTCAAATATTTACGTGGTATAATATATTTCATCATTCAGCTAAAAAAAGTTGGAGAATTGGAAAAAGCTCTTCATTATGAGGTAAAGGGTGACATAACTCAATTCACCCAGTCCAAAAGGTTACCTTTATTGCTTTATAAATGTTATAACTATTGTAAACTGTTTTAGAAAAATGCATCCAAGCACCTAAAGACTATTGCCGATCAAAAAGAAACTATAGCTTGTTTGAGAGAAAATCTTAGCAAAGTAAGAAATCACAACACCCTTCCATTATTAACTTCGTGCCCTGAAACTAAATATTAACCTTTTGCCTTAAAAGGCACTAGCAAAAGTCTGCGAACTTGAAAAAGTCGTGGAAAAGATGGTCGAACAAGAGTCTTTGATCCGACAGGAATATCAGGAAGTATGTAACTACATTTACTTTTCATTTCTCGCACATTTCACTCTATAAAAGGACAAGTTTCAATTTTTTAAATGGACGTATTCGATTTTCTATCTATCCTGATCATTCACTAATGTTATTTCAGGTCATAGATAATCAAAAAATGGAGTTCTCTAAGTTTAAAACCACCTATTAAGAGACCACATGGTTGATGTCAATCTTGATGATGAAAGAGAGGTACAAACATTGTGTTTACATTCCATTAATTGATATATTTTTATTAACGCATGAATAACCCCATATTTTAATACAGAAATTCTCATGTGACATTGGAGATACAGGTCCAAAAGTTAGTATAAATCTAGTTATTTGAGTATATTACATTTTCTTACTCTCACGTATCTTTTATTATTTGACACACAGGTGAAAAAGTGTAATGCAAGTGTCTCAGTAGTAAAGCGGGGACCTTCCGAAATGCACAATGCAGCACGAAGTTTAAAGGTGATTTCCATTTGGTTGAAACATATCTTTTAGGGCGTCGTTTACTTACACGTTCCTTCTTTTGTTTGCTGTTTTGTTTTGCTTCCTCATGTGACGCTGGTACAGCTTTCGACGGGAATACAACTAACTATGGAGGAATATGACACGGACATGGATATTGACAAGGTAGCTAAAAAAGGGACCGTACATAACAAATATTCTTATTCCATTTTTCAGTTCAAATGTTTTAATAAACTTTCAAAAGAACAATTTCGATATACCTTAATCAAGTGGCCAATGTTTTTTTCACCATTTTAGGGTGCAACCATATCAATCGCAACACCCAAGAACAAAGAGACTGAAACATCTTCTCGTGACGAGCACAATGCAAGTTTATATTGCGACTATTATTCATTTGATTTTCTTTCCTTGTATACTGACGTCATATAACTAAGTATTTTCTATTACAGGATATCTCAGAAAAGCAGCAGTCTACCCTAGGTCAGTTTCCAAAAAAACGACCCGCAAAAAGTTACAATCGCAGAAATGAAAGCAAGAAGGTAATTCATAGATAAGGACTAGAAGTACAAAGCAGCTGTTGAAATATTGTACAAATATTGAATTTATTTTATATTAGAAAAAACTAGACTCTCACGAAAGTCTCATCGAAGAAAAAGAATTTACTGTTGGAAGCAAAATAACTGAGGTAATAATTGCAGTCAAATAAAAACAAAAAAAACATTATCAGTATAAATTTAAATATGACGATTGTGAAAACAGTTGGGACTGGTAGAAATAATAATAACTTGTTCACTGTACTGAATGTTTTAGAATTCTAGGTAGTTCTTAATTTTCATTCTTTCATCATTTATTCATTAATTTATTTTCATGTATAGACTGGCTTTGTGGCAGTGGCATACACTACGCCATCCGAATATCATATCGGAAAAATTATGGAGGAAAAGAGCGACAAGTCAATAGGCATCTCTTTTTTACAAAAGATGAAAGATGGAACAGGCTATAAATGGCCTAACAAACCTGTCATTGAATATGACATTTACGAACATCAGATCTTTGTGAGGAATCTATAAGTTTAAAGACGACCAGTTAGAAGAACAATACGAGAGGTGCATTGAAAAACTTTCTCGACTTGAGCGAAAAACGAAGGTAGGTAGCTGTGAAACAATTGGTTTCTGGCCTTCAATCTCATTAATATTTATAATAATTGTTTCGCTTAAATCTTAAAGATCGAGGCAGTATGGGATGACATCGAGGCGCCATACCGAAAAGTGGGACGGGTGTGCTGGAAAGATTTCAAGACTTTGCAGCTTGACATACCTCCAGTACACGAGACCCTAATGAAGATGCAGCTGATGGTTAGCACAGACTGGGAAAAAGGGTACCTGAATGATGAGGTTGGTCAGTTTGTATTTATAAATAGAATATATTGCCATATATATTCCATTTAGTACGACTTTTAGTACAATCAATGATAAGTCAACTTACTGTAGTTTTTAAAATCTTTCGGCTTTACAGTTGAAACAAGATATAATTCATTTAATTAATGTATTTAACTGATAGCCTGCGTTACATCCGTTGTTTTGGCGAAATAAACCGGATGTAACGCAGGCTATTAACTGACAGCATTTACAATTTGATTGTTTCAAGGTTATTGATGAATATATAGCGCTCCTGGAAAAAAAGGCAAAAAAGGAGGTATGGTCTATTAGTAAACATTTTAAATTGCACCGATATCAAGCTGTATTTCATCTTTTTAGGGAAAGAACATATTAACGGCAAATTCCAAGTTCTTTCAATTACTTGTTGAAGGAAAGCCATGGAGAAAGAAGGTATGCTTCCTCTATTAAACTTCATGAACTTGTATGAATAAGTAGCAATGGCAAAAATGTCATATCGTACACCTAAACAGTATTAACGGCATAAACACTGCTTAGATTACAGCCTTTCGACTGTAAATAACACAAGACATAAAATTACATTACCTTGAATATCATGTCATTTCAATTTAATTCTTATTTTCATTTATATATCAGCTGACTAACTTTATGGCCTTTGACAAGCTTGTGCTCCCGAGCTAATTTGAGTCAAAAAATCATTGGAGTCTTGGGGTGAGAAGTGTATATTTAGACGCTTACTAGTTACATTCTTGCATTCAGTCTGAAAATGTTATTTTGAACAGGTTGTTGACATACACAGATGCACAATAGCCATTATTGACCCCCTTGGCGTTAAGAAAAACCACTCAAAAATTTTTGATCAACTCAGGTATTATAGAATGGTTGATGACAGCAACATTTATCCATTTTATAATGGGTATTGGGTTCCGTGATTATTTTTAGAGTGTTCCTTCAAAGTAGGGGGTTGACCCAAAAATGGCGACTTGAAGAAATTCCTCACCCTTGTCAGCATGATGCCGTAAGTTGCGGCATATATATTCTAAAGGTAAGAGAAAAATGACTGTCTGTACTAATTTTTCAAATTGACATGCGGACATAGACAACTATATTAATTTTCGTTAACAGATAGCGGAGTGCATTATGTTCCAACCCGGTGATCCAATCGAATTTTCTAGTGTAAGTGCTAGTACTATATCTAATTATATGTAAAATTAATACCGATAAGCTAAATATCATGTTCTACTTCTTTACAGGAAGATGTCGATGAATACCGCTACGTCGTAGCAGAAAAGCCTCTGGATCAAAAGTAGCAGAATGTGTTATACATAGTATAACGCACTCCATGAAATCTAATGACCCTCTTTGTGCTAATGTTATGCAATTTAGAAATAGCAATTTTGATTTTTGTACAATTTCACTCCAAAATGCGCCTTCTCATTTTACTAGAGCCATTAGCTCAAATTCACAGGAATGTACATCATGTATCTGATCATGTACACTCTAACTCTGGTATCTGTCAACTACTGATGGACACAAAGAGCATCGACAGCTCTTATCATTCATCGGATTTGCGATAACTCAAACAAGAAACTTCTGGCTAAACTCTTGTAAATATATTCGCATTTAAACACTATTTCGGTGAATAATTGAGCATATCCTTGTAAAAATATGTAAATAAAAGCAAAAGCAAAAACAGAAGTTACTTCACGAACTTCTTCTGTTTTGACATGTAAATATCAAACGATCATTTAAATATTCCATCTCGTGTCCAATCTGTCCTTGCTTGTCGCATGATSACAGCTGTGATTTGCCAAAGTGGGTTAATATCCCGTACCGGCAATCTATGATATAATTGGTTCAGTCACGTTATGTGAGTGTTTATGTGGCGATAATGAAGTCACCTCTTCAATTTGAATTGATACCTCATGGAATTTTCTACTTCACCGAAAAGCCTTGATGAAACGTTATAAAATGTTTAGTACTCATTTTGCTCGTAACTTGAAATTGAACTCGTTTCTACGGACCGGATAATGCGTGCAAAAGTGGACTTGTTTTACAGCGTGACGTTGGTCTTAAAAGCTCTTTATCTGTCATCGCTTCTTGTATGATCAAAGCTGTGATTGGCTTAACCGCCTTACTATCCCGTACTAATTACTGCTCAATGAGACGATTGCATGAGTCGCGTTATCATTCCGTACTAATCCCGTACTAATTTACTGCTTTATAATACGATTGGTTGACTCGCGTTATCATCCCCTAAATAAGAGTTGGTTTGGCACAAAGTGCATAATACACTTTTCGCAATATGCACTTTGTGCCAAAAACAAATGGGATTTTACAAATTAGAACGAATCTAAGACGGGTTGCATTGCCCAACATTTAGTACATTAGAGTACAAAACTCCATTTTAGTAACTTTTCTAAGCTAAATAAAGTTGAAGTATTCGTGAAGTCTGAAAGTGTTCTTGATCTGTCATCACTTCTAGCTGTTTTTAAGAAGATAATTGGCTAATACGCGTTACTATCCCGTACGGACTGAGATGAAATTACTAACCTGCGTTCTGATTGGTTTATTCGCGTTATCATCCCGTAGCTCGAAATACCTGTTTTTTAACGACTCTGATTGGTTGATACGCGGGATGTATACCGCAAAGGTGACTTTATCTAAAAAGTACATTTTTAAATGATCAAGTACATTTTTAAATGTACAATTGTTATTAATATCGCTTAAAAAAGTTGAAGAACAAATAAAATCTAGCGATCCGCATTTATAAAAAAAATTGGGTTGGATCATGGGGGATCTCATGACTATTGACAGTAATAATGTAATAATAAACAATTTTATTTCCTGACATCATAATAAGTTGTAATTTACGACACTAAAGTCATCGTAATTGTACAAAACTCTAAAAAACTGTACAAAAAGATATAGAAACCAAAACGAAAACTGATAAATATGAACAAATACATAAACGAACATAACTAATGAATACCTAGATGATGCATGGCGATGTCGTCATCAAAGCTTTTGCCGCATTGTTTTTTGGGTGGAGAAATTAGCTCCGTTAAGGTTTCCATACTCGTCCCACTGTGCTTTTTTTTGCCCAAGCCAACTGGTTTAAGTTGGGTTTTGGTACTTCGAGGAGTCTCACATATCGGCGTCTGTTTCAGCTGATCATCTCCATCAGAGCATTTTCTATACGCCTCTATGAACTCTTCGGCGGTCTTCATTTTAGCACCGTCACAACTTATTTTAACTATCATTGGGTCATTTTGTGGGTGATTAGGGTTGTCCTTTTTGAAATCATTGATGTGTTCTTTAAGCGTGTCTGTGAATGACAGTTGTGCACCAGGATGCTGCGCAGGGGTCCTTTCTATATGGCAGAGCTTGTTCAGGTCATTTTTCTTTTGCTTGATTAAATATGTTCTTGGTAGGTCATTAGAAATCATTGAAAATTCATGGTATAATTCATCACTAGCACAGAATTTGTCAATCAAGTACAAAATGGTTTCCAGGCTATCATTATCAGRTTKTGAATTATTTTCATTATATACTAGCTTATGTGAAATTCCAGTGGCCGTCTCCTGGACGTGAACAAAAGAAAGTTGAAGACCATATGAGGTTAAAAATCGAAGTGCTATTTCAGCCTTTTCTTTTAATTCATTTAGCCTTCTTAACTGTTGCTTTCTTCCTAAAGAGTCAATTTTTTTTGACAAAGAAAACCAGACTTCCTTTCTAAATTATTTATGTACTCATGAAGCTCTTTATTCTTGTCATGTAGTTCATTGAGTGTTTGCTCTGTTCTGTTATCTCCCTTTTCATTTTCCCTTTCCTGCAAAATCTTTTTAAATAAATAAATAAATAAAATACATATCTTCTTTCTCCCTTTCAAGATCTTTACACTTTTCTTTCCATGCCTTAATTTCTTCTTCTGCCATAGAAAGTGTTCTCTCTACTTCCTCTGGTTTTATCAATTCCCTAATGTGAAGAGTGAGAGATTTTGCATTTGCCTCTTCCCTTTTACTGCCACTCACTTTCTTCCCTTTATATTTCTTCACAATTGCTCCTGCCTCTCGTCTTAGACGTCCTGTTATTCTTGATCCGTGTGCTTTATCTATCTTAAACCAATGGCCAGGAATCCAAGCGTTTAAGAGCGTTATATAATCCAGCGTATTGCCTTCGTCATCTTTAGTCCCAACGAGACCATGCCATTTCATGAGAACCGGGTACGGTATATCAACAGCAACAGCTATGTCCGAATCATTTACATGTGATTGATTTATGTAGCTAAACGACGAATCAGGAACCTTTAACTTGTTATCCAAGCGTTTCTGCTCACTTTGAAGCAAGTAATCTGACATCGTCGAATTTAGAAGAAGTAAGAACAATAAAGAAACATACAGTATAACTATTTTTGTATTTTCGAGTCTACAAGCTTATGAATCAGCGGTATAACCCATGAAGTTACCAGTCTGCTCGATCAATGTAAACACCCGTTTCTCATGTTGTAACCCAGTACTTACTACTACTTGTCAGCAGCTGTTCCCAGTAGTTACTACTTCTTGTATGCTGTTGTTGTATCCTAGAACCCAGTTCCCGCTCGAGAATTATAAAATTGTTGTTCGTGTTTCCTGTTTTCTGKTCTCGTGTATACCGTAGTAGTTTAATCGCTTATTTACTTCATCGATGATTCAAGTTAGGTATTCATTGTTATTTTGAAAAAGCCCTATTCTTTTAATCAGGCTCAGTGATCAACAAAGTGTTGCTCGATTGCAAAATAACACATCACGTCACTATAAATTTAGCAGCTGAGGTTTGTGGCAAATATTAGAATTATAGACTATCAATCGGCTACCAACGCGAAAAGATTCTATTTGGATTGACAAGAATACTTTATCTGACCTTTTGTGAAATCATGGTGCTCAGTAGAGATGTTTCGCATAAGGACACTTCGTATGCAAATGAGCCACTATTTGTATATAGTTCGATTTCTTTTGTAAATGTAAAGTACACATTACATTTTTATTTTATTTTAAGCTTTATTCGAACGAGTACAACTTACTGGCAGATACGAGGACATGAATGTTATTGACACTTAATTTGATATTTCTTCGAATAATACAACATGTCTTTGGGCTAGGAAAGTGCAAAGCTCTACTATCATAGGTTGAAACCAACGAGGATGGCGCCAAATACTGCTTACTGCTCTATAGGTC